AACTCAGCCAACAGAAAAGACCAAGCTAGAAAGTAACGTCATCAGCTTAAAGTTTTCGTCAAAACTGACGGGGAGTTTGAAAGTCAATGGGGGCCGGGACACGGTGTCGGTACGAAAAGCTTCTGGACAGACACATCAGGCCTGTTAAGGCGTATGGTCTCAGCAGTGGTTGAAGTCATTGGTCTAGTTACTTACAACAATATTGAGAGAACTTCATAAACAGCTTTGAAAACGCTGCAGCGTTACTCCAGAGTGTATCAAGACATCCGTTTGGATGACTGTCTCGTTCTTGGACTGTTAAATGCAATTCTAAATAAGCATAAATCAACGCACGAAAAGATCATCTTACAAGATAGCTTGTCCTTTGACGCGTTGTGAGCACTGATTCCAACCAGAGGTTACATGCATTTATTGAAAAAACCAGGTGCAGAAGGAATTACTAGTAAACATAAGTCATTATCTTATGCCTTTGAACAAATCACATGTGATGCTGTGGAGCAAAGTGTAAAGACCATCTGACAGTTGAATTACGGCTCAAATATACATCTCGCGTGTAAGAAGAATAAGCATGCCTAGGGGGCAGAATCTTTCACGCCAGTGATATTTTTCTCTAAACCGACAAGTCTGGAAAAAACGACACGAATCTACATACCTCATACATGTAGTCCGTAGTGAATGCTGGAGGATACATGTATTGTGTTCGCTCTGAAGGACATGTGGTGATAAATCTGTACGAAACAGGTCGGATCCGATGACGGTAGAGTGGACTGACCGAGTGCTGTGACCGCTGTGCAGCAAATTATCTTCCATAAAGCAGCTTCCACTCTCTCATCGAACTGTCTATGATTTCCTTACCTGTTTTCTGGGACTCGGTACATATGCAGGCAACCGAAAAGTGATAACCCCAGAATGGGACTACGAAACTAGCCAAGATGATGACCAGGAATAAGTGATGTCGTGAACAGTGTGTTGTATGTAGATTTAATCCCTCCTTTCTGTCACGTTGAACATGTTTGTAGCCCATCTCAGCTAATTTCCCCATTTCTGTATTGAAGTGCGCAGAACCAGAATGCAAATCAACAGTGTGATAAGCAGCAAGCAAGTGAGTCAGTGATTGCCCAAGGAAGTGTAGCAACAGAATGAAAATCCGACTATTCGTCTTAGTTCACTCCAGGTCCAAAAAGCCCGCTGACTGAAGTGCAGCACCATTTGCCGTTCATCGAAATCATACGGGGCTTTCACACACGCCCACACACACACCACACACACACATTTCTGTATTGAAGTGCGCAGAACCAGAATGCAAATCAACAGTGTGATAAGCAGCAAGCAAGTGAGTCAGTGATTGCCCAAGGAAGTGTAGCAACAGAATGAAAATCCGACTATTCGTCTTAGTTCACTCCAGGTCCAAAACGCTCGCTGACTGAAGTGCAGCACCATTTGCCGTTCATCGAAATCATACGGGGCTTTCACACACACACACACACACACACACACACAAACCGTAGAGAAATCACAGTACACTGAATAGCAAAAACAACGTCTGATTGTTTGAGGTCAGCGAACCTCCTCGCCTTGGAGCTAACCGTTGTTCCCGGCAGTCACAACGAGCAAGCGCGACCAAGTACTATCCAAAAGTGAAGCATAAACGCAGCTAAGTCAACCCTGTGTTTTGATGCAGACCACATAAACGCACTGTGGGCGTAAAGTCCCCAATAGTACTGTTTTTCCGCCCGTACTGCTACCATGAATAGAAACCGTATGCTAACTACGGCACCCAAAACATGTGCGCAATTTACAAGAGAAATTGTTTTGTCTTGTCCCGTGTCTTGTCTGTTACAGTCTTGTAGTTTTTAACGACTTCTCTCCGTTAACATATGGAGAAGTATGGAGTAGCCAGTCAGCTATGAGTGCGTGACCTTGACCCCTTCTGCTGTACCTTCGTAACCTTATTCTTCCCTATCATGCACGCCTCTGCTGTCCCGTATGGTTCATCGTTCGTTCTGTCACCAAAAACAGTGAAGTAATTTAACCCATGTAGAAAAGAGGTGTCACGGCAGATTGTGAGCTTCAGAAAAATAAACAGGAACCCAAAAAATATGAAAAGAGTACGGCGTGCACAAGTTCCCCCTCAGAGGGCAACAGCACTTATAATAGCCGACTTTGATCGGTTCACTAAAAACTGCTTTGATAAGGAAACCACTCCCAGAAGAGGTTGATTATGGCTTCTCCATCCGGTTGCTCGTTTCAGAGGAAGCTGTTGTGATGAAGGCGTGTTCCCAAGTCCACAAAAGAAGCCTTGAAGTGAATTCTAGTCAGAAGTTTGATAGTTGCAGAGTAAAAACCGCTACAGGATTCCGAAAACCATATGAACGAGT